CCCCCCCCAGCCCTGCTGCTTTCTGTCCCCCGCCTCCTTCCCTCAGGCCAGGGCTGGAGCGGAGCGGAGCCTCTTCCTTGGCCGCGCAATCTGTTTCCATGGGAACGGAGCGAGCCGGAGCCGCCTCCAGCTCTGGCCCCGGCTTCGGGAACCAGCGGCCCGCCTCGCCACGTGCTGGGCCGCTGCCGGGAGCGGAGCTTCTGCTTAGCAGCTTTCCAGGTGCCAATCTCTCCTGCCTGCGGCAGGACTGAGAACCACGTCTAGCAGCCAGCAGTAGCGCGCACACACACACACGTGCATATAATACCATGCATACATACTTGTATAATTGTGTATATATTATGTATGTATGTAAAATCTGACTGTGTTGGAGCTATTGGAAAACGTGTAACTCTCAAGTTTAACCATATAAATCTGCAAGCATTCCTTGTGTGTGTGTGTGTGTGTGTGTGTGTGTGTGTGTGTGTGTGTGTGTGTGTGTGTGTGTGTTCCTTAGCTCTGTAGTGAAAAAAATTGAAAACTAGGACCTGGCATTTTCCAAGGGGTGCTTCTAGTCTAAAAAGGTTGAGAACTACTGTATTATAATTATAGGCCTTTTTTTTTTAGAGGTGTGTAATGATAATAAATGCACAATCCTTTTTATAATCCTGCTTGAAAGTTACTCTTATCTTGTCTCTGAGATATTGTGGTGAACATGTTTGTTATTACCCTGAAATAGAATAGTTTTCTGATAGCATACTGTTAGGTTAACAATAATTTGGATTATTAAGAAGTATTAGCTTTGCAGCTGAATACAAGGCATGACCTGTGGCCTAGCAATGCCACTGACCACAAGGCAGAATGATAGCTAAGCCTTTGCTTGTGTCAAGTAATCATTTTAACCGTGTTAAGCATTTTCTGAGTAAAATGCAGCAAGTGGATCTGTGTCTGTGTGCTGTAAAATCAGCTACAGCAAGGAACAAGATAAGACAAAGAAGCCATTGTTCTAAGTACAGTGATCATGTCCTTAAGAAGTATCTACCACTGCAAGTTCTTGCTAACGTATCATAATGTTACTGTTACTTAACTTTTAGCTTTTAAAAAGTGCTAGTTCAGCTTAATAGAAATATGCTGTTATGAAGATTTGTGAAGCACCGCCCAAGTATTGCTTTTGTTAACCCTGTAGTCTTGCCTTGTTGTAAAAAGTATGAAAGATCGCCCCACCCTTTAGGGGGGCGCATTTTGCCTCTTTGCTGGCTTAATGGTCATTGCTCGAGCAAATATACTGCAGTAAAACTTTACCCGTGTTGTCTGGTTCCTATGCAGCTAGACAATGAACCCCAGGGAGTTTTCTCCCACCACAATATGTATGTATGTATGTATGTATATTATTCTTGTCATATAAATATGCATATAGATATATAAATATATGAATATGACAAGAAGAGAAAGATACATAAATCTAATATATATTAGAAAAGAAATACACACATATGTGTATTTCTTTTTCTAATATATCTTTTCTATATATATTACAAAAATTCTTGCAGATTTAGATATCTAAACCTGAGGGTTACACATGTTGTTTTTCAATGGTTCCAACAGGTTACTAAAAGCCATCCCCATTAACTTCAGTGGAAATTCCTCCAGAGTATGGTTCAACATACCTAAAATAACTCAACCTTTAATTTTTAAAGGGATATTTTTAGAGCGTTAGGTTGAAGACATTTTTTAAAGTACGTGGAATGTGAAGACCATTCTATAAAAGCAAAGATCTGTTTCAGGAAGGACAGATAAACTGGGTGGCTGAAGGTATGTGTCTGTGTGCATATGCATGTGCAGTGCTATGATACAACTATACTTGTTTTATGTCATTGCTTAAATACATTTACCTAAGCAATAACAGAGTTTGTCACATAGGCCCCGGTTGATTGCATCTTAAGTTATAAGCCGTCCACATGTTAAAGCAATTAATGGCTTCGTAAAACAAGGAATAAGCCACAAAGTTATCTCACAAAAAATGAGTAATAACTTTGTGGCTGGTTCCTGTCACACCATTAATTGAATGATGACTGGATACCTGCAGCTGAGGTGCCCCCATGGCCAGAAGGTCCATCAGCTGTGGGCTCCCAGGCTTGAGGTGTATGGTGTGCTCCTGTAGCTGGAAGTCCAAATCAGCTGATGGGGCTCCCACCTGCAGGAACACACAGTGCGCCCCTGCAGCTCAGAGCCCCAGCAGTTGCCAAGGCTCCCAGCCGTGGAAGTTCACTACTGGCTGATGCAGGGGGAGCCTGGAAGTGTGGCAGTATGGTGGGATGGGATCTGATGCTCCATCCCACCATCACACCTCCTGCCATGTATGTGTGGCATGGCAGGAAGCGTGATTGTGTGGATCATGCATCAGACCCTATTGTGCCTTTACCTGGTAGGAGTCATAGAATCATAGAAAAGTAGGGCTGGAAGAGACTTCTAGAGGTCATCTAGTCCAGTGGTTCTCAACCTTTTTTTGTACCAGGACCCATTTGTAAATGACAATGGCCCATCCTGACCCAGTGCCCCTCACTCCTGACCCGCTGCCACCCAGCCCCACAGTGTGTGTGGCATGGGGGGCCCCAAGCAGCCCCCTGTAGGCTGGAACTCTGCCAGCCTGCAAAGGAAAAGCCACCGTTTCCCACATTTTTCTCCTTTAAAGGAGAATCCATTTTTAAAGGTTGTTTGTGACTCTTTCATATATTCTTGTGACCCACTTTTGGGTTGCGACTCATGGGTTGATAAACGCTGATCTAGTCCAAACCCCTACTTGAGGCAGACTGTTTCATAACCAAACCATCCTATACAGATCCTTGTCTAACCTATTAGTAAAACTATACAGTCAACCCTGTCACACAGCTGCAAGGCATAACACCCTAACATGCCATATGGTGGCAAGTGGCCTGCTGCAGCAAGGGTAATTAAAATATGCTGAAGAGAGCCAAGGAAGAGAGCCGTGTCCTTGCAACAGAGGAAGGCAAAAAGCTCCACAATCTGTACCAATCTCATCTCCGGGAAGAAATGTAATTCCTTCCTGACCCCACATGTGGTGATCTGTCTGGCCCTAAGCAGAGGCGCAAGACTCGGTAGCCAGAACCCTCTGAGTTTTAGTTCCAGCAGGAGCATTGGCATACCTCAGTCAAAATCTCCAGTCTTGGCTGCAGCCAACACCCAATGCTTCTGAGGAAAGTGAAATAAAGAGACTCTGACATGTAGTAACAAGAGTGGAAAATATTATTTCTTGGCTGCACATGGTAACCAGCAAAGCTCAGAAGCATGGGAAATACCCATAGTAAAAGAATAAGAACAGCTGCTCCTAGATCATGCTAGATCTCTGTTTGTCCAAAAGAACTCCAGTGATGCAGACTCCACAACTTCCCTACCGAGTCTATTCCATTGCCTCACTGTTCTAACAGCAAAGAAGTTTTTCTTGAAATCCAATCTAAGCTTACTCTGCTGCAGCTTCAAGCCATTGGTCCATGTCTTGCTCTCTGTAGCAAGAGAGAAAAGGTGTTTTGCCTTTTCTTTATGGCAGGCCTTCAAGTATTTGTTACTTGCCAGTGCAAGGGGAACCCAGGATCACAATATGATCCTACAGTGGCAATAAGGTGTGATGGGTTCTGATGGAATTATATCCCCTTTCTATCAGCTGAACATACCTATTTCCTTCAACCTCTCTTTGTGTGGCGGACCTTCCAAACCCTTTTATCATTTTTGTCACCCATCTCTGCACCCTCTCTAACTTCTCCATATGTTTTTTAAAATGTGGAGTCCAAAGTGCACGCAGTGTAACCAGTGCTGAGTAAAGGGGCACTACTACCTACCATTTCTTGCACCTAAAGTTTCTATTGATACAACTAAAGTATTTCTTGCACCCAAAGTTTCTATTGATACAGCTGTCACCCATTTTGTTTCTGAGTTTTTGATTAGTCTTTCTGAGGTGTAGCACCTTGCATTTTTCAGCACTAAACTTCCCTGTTAGCTTCATCCCAGCATTCCAGTCTGTCAAACTGTGCTCCTGCCCTCCAACGTGATCCTAGTCTTGTCTGAAAATCTGCTCAAGAAGCATTCTATTCCAGCGTCCAAACCATTTTCCTCATTTCTTTCTAGATATGAAAATATGTTCACGCCATCTTGAGGCTGAGAGTTTAAATATATACATGATTAAAAATAGTGATTATAACATGCTCTTGTAACTATAACAGACAAGGTTCTTTGGGTAAATGTGATAGCTTTTATTTGACCAACTAAATAGTTCTTTGTAAGAAAAATTGTTCTTTGTAAGCTTTCGGATACAAACACCCTTCTTCAGGCAGAGGGAGAGCCTACAGTTGTATTGTGCTCTCCTGGATAGGACAGAAGCCAGTATGACTATATAACTATGAGGTATTTTGTATTATTGAATATAGTGTTAGGCTTTATATAGGGATGAATTAGGACAGCATCATTGGCATCCATGTCTCATGACCAGAAAAACTACTAAGAGTTGCAGGGGAGTACAGCAAGACTTCTGCCTACTTGGGTGGTTTGGGTCTTGCATATAATTTAGGTCCATTAGTAGTAGGAAGGTGAATCAACTCCGGGTGGTCAGGAGCATTAGGAGAGTTTGTCCTGAACAGGTCAGAATGAAAGACTGGGATTCTAGTGAGTGATTACTGGGTGATAAAATATTGGCTTTTAAAATCTGGGGTCATCCAGGCTACATTTAGCCTTAAATACTTTCTGGCTATATGTATCTGTAGTATAGCTATACCATTCCTCTGGAAACCATAATCTTTATTTGCTGGCCCCTATGCATTCAATATTTCAATCCCAACAATGAGTGGTAAAAAGCTGATAGGATTTTTTTTTTTGTAATGAAGTTGCTTGGGTTTCTGTATGGAAAAAGGCTGAATCTCAGAGTTGTACAGGCATGTGTTCATTTCAGTATTGAAATGAGAGAAATGAATGGTCACAAACTGAAATAAATTTGCTAGCTAAATTACATATGTATCTGGAATTCTGCATCTTTAAAAACAGCTTTTGTGTATTTCAGTCTCTGGAACACATTTCTAAGGGAGGAAGTGACAAATTAGAGAGAGATTGTCTAGTACACTAGGTGCCAACTCTTTTGGCAGGCATGTCACATATTAGCTTAAAATTCTTCTCAAGTGCCACTCTGATCCTCTGCCAATGCCCACTTGGCCGCCCTGTTTTCTGCTCCCTTTCCTCTGGTCCCTGCCTGATCTGCTACTTTGCTTTCTGCTCTATCCACCACTGTGCTGCCTGTTCCCTCTGCCATGTGAAAGACACACAGGCTACCCATCTACCTATGCCACTTGTGGCATGCATACCACAGACTGGCCACCCTGGTCTAGCATAATACTAATTTAGTTATTTTAAAAGTACCTTTGAGATTCCCAGCGGCCATATTTTACTTTCTCTTCCTAATATCAAGTTCATGCAGTTTTCATTTTTTCCCACAAGTGATTCAGTAACTTTTAATAATACAGTTATAAATAACTTCCACAACAAGTAAGTATGCATGTGTCATGGAAAAATGATAAAAAGCTTGATAAGAATTCTTTTTCAAGATGTAAGGTCTGAAAAATGTCCAAAGTTGCGGTATAGCTCATAGACACAGTTAAATCACAGGATAATCCTGCCTGTATGACAATATTGTTCTAATTACCAGTATGAAGGGAAGTTGGTTGTAACTGAATCTCCTTTCAGAGCTGTAATTTATAGCACAGACAAGATAGGAAGTAACTTTCAAGTAGGATTATGAAAAGGATCATTTATTTAATATAGTTAATTTAATAATGTTACACAACTTTTAAAAAGTTGCACAAAAAACAGCCTATGAAGCAAACTTCTCAACATTTTTAGACTCAAGGCACCCCTTGGAAAATCTTCTAGTTTTCACTATTTTTTGACTACAGAAAAATAATAGTGATTCTTCTGTTGTGAAGAGCTCAGAAAGACTGCAACAGGTCAGAATGTTTTTAATGCTATGGATTTATCAGGTGAATTACATTCTTGCACAGCTAACAGTGCTAATATAGTGTAAAAAAGTAAGTGTGGCATCCAGCTTCACCCTTGAAAAGATCTTAAGGTACCCTAGTTAAGAATCAAAGCTATAATGAGAATGTCTACCATATATATTTTTTTAAGTATGAAAACATCCCTCCCAGAGCAGACACTGAAACTGTGCTCAGAGAAAGGGTAGGAATTTATCCCTACATTTGAAATGTGGTTGTCAAGCAACTGTGCTGCTTGGCAGCACCTGCTGTCTGTGCGTGTGTGTCTGTGCGGCAGTGGGGGGTGGGAACGCTCTCCTGCCATGGAGACAGGTCCATACACTGAATGTGACTGCATGTATGTGCTCACTGTGTGCCAACATCTAAGAGTGTCAAAGGTGGTAACAAAGGAAGTGAAAGCAACAGTTCTGGTTCTGCAAGGGCGAATTTTAGAAGGCATGAACCTACAAGGGAGGAAAGGCTGGGATGTGCACAGGGGCAGATCCAGGGGCAGGATGGCGACGGGGTGCAGCTGCACCCCTTTGATTCCTGCTCCACCCAACCTTTAAAACCAACTGCTTGAGAGGGTCAGTGGCATTTCTATTCAGGGAGAACAAAGGGAGCCAATTGACTTCACGGCTCAGTAAAATCTACCTGCTTCCTGATAATTTAACTCCACAGGTATTAATGACCCTCTCTCTGTAGGTGACGCATAGCGGGCCACATGTACCCGAGAGCTCTGGTTCCCCCCCTGGCAGTGAGTACTCTGGCTGGTAGGAGGGCACAGAAAGCGCTAGTGCCCCTCCTGAAATTGGCTCTACCGGTGGCACGTTGGAGCCCCAAGAGAGCCAGCACTGCCGCTGCTGCTGTGCTGCTGGCACACTCGGCACCCGGCGGCTGGGGGATCCCCCTGCCCCTCAGTTGCTGGCTGGCCGGGGGACCCCCGCCAGACTCAGGAGGCACTCATTGCCCACACCTCTATCCTTTCTAATGGTCTTGATGTTCCACTATCCTTTCTTCTTAAATTGTGCTGTTAACCATTCCCGGGCATGCCTCTCTTCTGTTTCAAAGCCCTGCAGTCTGTTTTTAATTCTAGCTACAAACCTTAACTCAGGTGTGTTCACGCTAATTCAGCTGCTGACCCGACTGACAGTGAAGGCACCGCCAAGATGATTAGATTTTGTTTTACAAATCTGAATAAGAGACGTCCATTTAACAGTAACCACTAGTTATACTAGACATACAATAACTATGACACAATATCTGGAGGCTATTGTTTTTGTCTAGTCTGCTGCGTTTGTTTTTTTTTAACTGAATATATTATCTAGCAAATGAGTGCCCATTCCACTAGTTATATTTGGTTTTGCTTTGATCTTTAACTGAATAACACAAGACTAGGCCGCTAGCATATTAGTAACGCTTCTAGTTTCTCTTCTAAGGGGAGACAAAAGCAGCTCGGGGTTGTCTGTGAAGAGCCCCCACAGCAGCTGCACCCTCCTTTTCGAAGTCCTCGATCCTCCCATGGCACTGCAGCCTTCTGGGGTCCCCCCCCCACCCCGCCCAGCCACAGCCAGTCCAGCTAGATGGCAACTTTGCCACGGTTTGGCTATGGATGATCCTGTCTCAGGCTAGGGGACTGTGCTGTGTCAGGGCCAAGGGGGCCTTACGCAGTTTCAATTATGGCCTATTGTATGCTGGCAGAGGCCTCAGGACGGCATCCAGCCCAGCCCGTGCTCAAAGCAGGGCCGTCCCCACCTCTCGCCCCAGCCAGGCCGTCTGGTGAGGGGT